TGAGGAGAGTGTTGACTCAAATGAATCAGGTACTTTAAATATATATAGTGGAAACGATTTATCGGGTGCCAGTGGAATTGATGAGAGTGACTACTCACAATATTTAATTTTAAAGAGGAGTTATGAAGAGTGTAATACATCTAATGAAACATCTAATTCTAATACAGATGACGAGCCTGATAGAAAATTAAAAAGGTTAAATGATAGAAGTGGATATACTTCATCACATTGTAGTACATCTTATAGCTCAACTATAAATAATATCAAGATCTAAGACACTAATAATGTAATCGTTTCTAATGATGAAGTTAATAATACTGTGAACCTACTTGATTCCTTTGATGATGAAGACAATTCAGAAACTAGTAAGTTGGCACTGCCTAAAGTATCTGAAGTTAAAAATTTAAATAAAATAGTTTTTATACCAACTCCTTGGCCAATAAAAATATTTCCTGGCTACAATGAAGAGGTTTTAAATAAATTGAAAAACTTTGTGGCTAACAAGACATTACAAGATCTAGTTCATACAAATGAGAATAAATTGTGCCCTATTCGTATAGATGATTTATTAAGAGTATTTATGCCAGACAATTGGTTAAATGATCTCGTAATTCAATATTACTTAGAACTTTTGATCAACAGTTCTAAGAATAAAATATTGAATTTGACATCATTTTTCATGGAGAGTATAAAGACTCATAATAAAGTTCCTGAAAAATGTTATAAAAATAAAAATATATTTAGTTACGATAAAATTATAGTACCTGTGTTTAATAATAATCATTGGACCTTAATTGTAGTGGACATTCGGGCGCGTGAAATAATTCATTTTAATAGTTTTGATTTCATACTTCATAATGAAATTTCAATAATGAAACTTTTTTTAAAACTTGCGTATGAAGATCAAAAGCAACCAGGTGATGAAGATGAAATTTTTTGGACTGATTGTAATGGGAACTCTCCCATACAAAATAATCAAAATGATTGTGGTGTATTTATATGTACAAATGCTAGATATAGATTATTAGACAAACCATCAAATTTCAGCCAGGAAGATATTCCCCTTTTAAGACAGCGTATTACTTATGAAATAGTATATAACATATTATTACCAACTTAATATTTTTTTTTTACAAACAGCCAGTGTTAAAATCTTTTTTTTTACTTGTGTAATTATATCTTAATAAGCTCCCATTATCAATTTGCTCAGTTTTCGATTTTTTTATGATGTTATATATTATTTATATACATTGTGATGTTGACTGTTAAAATTTAAATGTAACCTGTTGGTGAAAGATGGCTAGTTGCATTTTGTTTTTGTAATAAATTTGATGAGTTTTAGTCTTAAGACTGCTATTCATGTAAATTGTGAGACTGAATAATGTCTTTAGTACACTAGATACAAGTGCCTCTTGTGTATTTTGTCTGAAGGCTTTTATAATCATTACCTCATCAAATGATTATTTTTAATATCGATCATTTGAATTGTTTTATTTTACATATTTATTTCCTATATTTTATTTCCCTGCCATGTGGTTTTTAATTTATCATACTTGTTGTTCATTATTTTTGTTTTTTAGTACTGACTTCACAAAAATCTCAGAGTACTCGTGTTATTTATTTTAATAATATTTTTATGTAATTTAGTAGTACAAAAAAAAAACAAGTTTAGTTCAATTGTTTAATGGTACATATTTTAATGTTTATAATTTTATAATTATATAATTTATTAATTTCAATTGATTTTACCACTATTATAGTTATTTTGTTTTTATTAGCTATTATAATGAATATATAATGTTAATTTATAAGTCATCAATTGAATTTATCATAATAAAAATTAATATTGTTATTATCATTATTATTACTATTATTTTAAGGAAAATTAAAAATTAAAAAAAATAATATTATTTATTAATTATGTAAAAAAACATTAGTCAATAGTAGTTAGGTTATAATACTTCTATCATTATGTTATGAATAAAATTTAAGTTTTGGAAATTTATTATTTGTAATATTTCATTACTACCTATTATTATTTGATTACTTGAAAACATGTTTGTATGTTTATGTTATACTTTCCACAATGTTAAAATGTACTTATAATTCAGAAAAAATAAAAAATAATTGTGTTAATTAATTTTTAAGAAATTAAAAATATTTTATTTTTTTTTATGTTATCAGTGATAATTCCACAGTTCAATTTTGGCATAAGTAAAGGATTTTATAAAGCTGAATCATTGTACAATTATGACTATTGTTCCTTGTAATTTATATTTATTAATTTTTAAATATTTTTAAAAAACTTTCAATAATCCTACCAATAAAAAGCATAAAGGTAATTTATGATAACCAAATCAATATTTATTTATTTATTTTATTTTATTCAAATAAAAAATTGGTTATAAAATTAAAAATAATAGTTAAAGTTTTAATAAATAAATAAAACTTAAGTTATTTTAAGTTTACATGATCATTACAAGAGGTTGATAGGAGCAAAGAAAATCTAAAAAATATAATATTTGTTATTTATCATTTTAACTTTTTGTGATAAGTAATTCTATAAATGATGTACACAAAAAATGTACTTTAACCAAATTATACACAAAGAATTAAAATGAAATTTATAAAATTATTAACCATTAAGATAACTAGATGTATGAAAATGTTGGGAGCCAAGGATAGTTCCATGTGCAATTATAAAAATTATTTTACATTAGTAGATTATTAATTTTACCAAATAATAATATAATTTATTAAACGTTTTCATAATTTCTAATCATTTTTTAAAAATAATTTTTCTTATAACCTTTAATTACAAAAACTAATAATACAAGTACGCCTTTATAAAATATCATATTATAATTTATTAGTCCAAACGTTTTAAAAAATATAAATTTAACATATAATTTGCATAAGTATCATGAAAGTTCTATTGTGTATCAATAATATTCAAATATTCAATCAGATTACTTGTAATCAGAAATACAAAGGACACTTCTTTTAAAAGGTTTTTGAATAAGTAAATAAAACATCTTTGAAAACACTTAATTACTATTTATACTTTAGGTTACTCTAACTTACAAAAGATCTTTATAATAATATTCTTAACATAAAACATAATTATAAATTGTAATAATTTTAATAAAATAATAATAAAAACTTTTAAAACACAAAATAAATATAAAATTTAAAATAATTTAATAATTTAAGATAAATTGGTTTTCAAGTATTTAAATACCACTCAAATACAAGAAGAAAAAAGTATTTAAATATAATATTTAATACTTATATGTTATATATCCAACTTAACCATAACAATGGGTAATGGAATACTAAATTTTTATCAATTTTTAAGTTGATCAATATTTTATTCATAGTAGTAAACAGTAACAATGGTTAGACATACTAAAAAAACAACAACAAAATAAAACTTAAAAAAGTGTTTCCTTTAATGTATTAATTTGTGTAAATATTTTTCTAATATTGGTGTTTAATTTACAACTTTAAAATAAAATAAGATTATTTTTAATATTTAATTATTATTAACTTTTATTATAACTAAGAATTTTACTATAAAATATAATGTATAAACCTGCATTGACTTGTTGAATAGTAAGTTTCGAGTAGTAGTTGATTACTTGTTTTGAGTATCTAGGTAATTCATTTTTTAAATTTTAATTCAATAATTAATATTCTATGTGAAAAATGATTCAAGTATCAACCTTTATTTTGAAGGATATTTAATACTATATTTAAATTTGCTATTATAAGTAATATATTTCTGTTCATAAATACAGTAGACAGTGGGTCTGATTCATAGTTAAACCCGTATTACCTAGCACGGTAATTTTCAATAGACCTTGACACTTCATACAAACTTTAAAAATACATTACTGTCTTTTTTTAATGTATTGTAATAAAGTTATTTTATTGCTAATTATTTATTTTTTTCAATTGTATATGTTAGGTTTGATGTCCAATTGAACAGCGTTTAATATAATTTGATGGTAACAATGCATATTTGAACAACTTAACACAACTATTAAGTAAAAAAAAAAATTAAATATTATAAATCAATAATACAATAAATAGTAGTAATAGAACAAATAAAAGTTTATCAACTTTAATATAATAATAATCATTTAAAAAAAACTTAAATCTAAAATATAAAGCTGTTTGTGCATAGTGTATAGTAAAATTCATTCTAAAGTTTTAATTGAACAATAGTTTTGAATTATTACTAAATAATGAACATCGTTATTGATCATTAAAATATGTATTTTTTAGAATTTTTAACTCTAAATGAACTACTTAAAAGAGGCATTGTATTAATTTTTTAAACCTTGGTCATATAAATTGAAGATTCTACATATTTTTTAATTCAAAATACTCGTTGTAAAATGATCATATTTTAAAAATTTAGTGCAAATATTTTTTTACCTTTATCAGAAAACCAATTCAGATATTCAGGAAAAAATTTGAAACGACCGAAGTGAATTTATACAATACATACAATTGACGAATATTATTCAACGATAAGTGACGATTTTATCGACGTAGCGAGGGTTTTGGAATCGTCACTGTATATTTGCCTAACAAGTAACAACTTTACTATACTGATTGGAATGATTCCATTAAAAAAAAAAAAAACGAAAATTCCCATTGCTATTAAAAAATGTTAATACAGCGTCCGTCACTATTTCATTATGTCAATATCAGTATTGATTATATAAATCTTATATATCTTGAATAACAGTGTACAAAAATAATAGGTAGGTACTTTTGATCAATGGTACCAGCCTGCAATACATACACATCAGTAGCTTATGTTTTATAACATTAAACATGTATTTACACTCTACATGTTAAATATTTTATTGTGCAGTTTGATTTTTACCAGATGTCTGTGGTAGACATTAAAAACAGTCGACGATGACTAGATATAATACTTTAATTATTAAATCGTATAGGTACACAACCTAATGCAATATAACAGTAATAATATTACTACTAGTGATAACAAGTTAAAAATTATATGGCAATGGTAGTGTATTTTGTCGGAAATGTATTTTCGATGATTTATATAAGTATCATCATTGGTAAGTAACGCATTTTTCCTGTTAAATAATTTTTTTAGCTATACTCCATTTCATTAATTCATATTTGTCTCATCTTTTAAACTTAAAACATTTTAATTGGCAAGCCCGTCACCAAGAGTGGGCTTAAGGAGCCCACCCCTAGTAAGTCAATAATCTTTTTTTTTTAAATTTATTTGTTTTATTCGAAACATATTTTATTTTTTTTTTAAATGGTAATTTTTATGTATCACCAACAACTTCATGGTGATCAATACATAATTAACATAAAATAATAGGTACATTTCATTGATATAAACATAATCCTTACGTACCTATATATATAAGAACAGGTTTTTTTTATGTTCCTATTCTGTGATGACGCTATTTAACATTTTTACAATTTTTTTTTCACAGAGTTGTACAGAATACTTTACAGAGTGTCACCACATCACCCGATTTTTCATTTTTTTTTTTTGCTTGATATGAAGGGTAGGGGTATTGTACTTTTATCCCTATTTATATAAAACAAATTGGTCTTTTTTATGTTCTCGTTTTGTGATGAAACTATTTTACATTTTTCCAATTTTCTTTCATAAGATTGTATCAAATAATCCTACGAGTTAGGTAGGTGGTAAGTGATCTATTATTCACAATTTAAATTTAATCGTCATTAGTTATTACAGTCATTTTGAGAAAGCATAAACTACACACTGGCGAAGCCGGGTAATTCAGCTAGTATGTATATAAATACTAAAAAATCATTGATAGTTTTTTTTTAAATCGTTATAAAAAAATAAAATAATTATGTATATTCATTTTGGATTTATACCATATTTCAATCAAGCGCCTTAGTGATAATTTTGGATTGGTGCTATGGCGCTATACATAATGCATTTTTCATAATTATCGTAGTTTTTTGACGCTGACCATTTAAATTTTGTGTGTATTTGATCTTGTCTCTTGATTACCAAAATTTTTGAAATGGTATACAATTTGATAATTTAAACCCGGATATTGGAGATTAACATACAATTTCCAATAGTTTGATGTTATAGTTAAACCAATTAAACTTAATTTTGAAATATTAGTACCTATAGGTTAGGTTATTAACTATAAACAATCTTTTTTCAAGATTACCATTATTTCTTTAAGTAATACCAAAATTCCATGGACCGTATTGTAGTTTTTTTGTAGTTGTTGATTATTTTCTTTAACTGAACTAGATACAGAAAAAGTTGATTTCCGATTAGAATACGGTTTCTGTTAAATTTTCGTTTTCCTCTAAATCAGAAATCATCAATTATTATTTATGAAAGGCTACATAAGAAATCTGAGAAATTTTCGCGGGCAAACAAAATTCAAAGTACATTATTTTTTACATATAGGTAATAGGTATTATTTTAAAATTAAATTTATTCAGAACATTG